CCAGCTGCAGCACTCAGAGATGTGGAACGTACCATTGCGCTGAGAGTCCGGGTGGATTTTCATGTTGCACAGCTCTCCTTTAATGTCTCCAGGAACCTCCATCCCCAGCTTCTGATAGAAGTCCCTCTGCTTCTTCATCTCCGCTGCACACACACATGAGGAAACACCACAGGTTCAGTCCAGAAGAACACACTCACAGTCTGCAGTAGATGATCAGATCATGAGAGTCCTCCAGTGCAGCGGTGTCCAGACTCAGTGCTGGAGGGTCGCTGTGCTGCAGAGTTTAGTTCCAACCCAACCAAACACACCTGCAGCAGCTGATCTAGCACTTGATATTCTAGAAACTTCCAGGCAGGTGTGCTGAGGGACGCTGGAGCTACACTGTGCAGGACAGCGGCCCTCCAGCACTGAGTCTGGGCAGGCCTGCTGTAGTGTGGTGTGTTTCAGGGCAGAACTCTCTCAGATCTTCATTTACTGGTCCACACATGCAGGCCTACAGGAGCAGCAGAGTGCCCTCTAGTGGAGGGATGAAGACATGAGCTAATGCTGCACTGAGCAGTTATAAACATACACATGACCTTTATTCAAACACAACACAACACACACACACACACACACACACACCTTCCTGCAGTCCTGGAACCAGCTTGTAGACGATGTCCTGCATGGTCCGGTCATGGCTGAGGGAACAGAGGGAATCTGGTTATTCTGCTGGATCAAACATGCATTACATTACACAACACAGAGCTGCAGATTACAGCTAGCATTAGCACAACAGCAGTGCTGATTAGCATATGGCTGCTCCTGGTGTGTGTGTGTGTGTGTGTGTGTGTGTGTGTGTGTGTGTGTGTGTGTGTGTGTGTGTTCTCCAACAGCGCAGCTCTCAGAGGTAAAGCCTATTAAACGTGTGTTGACATGCTCATCTGAGCGCCAGAACCAGTTTCCAGGACACAAAACCCCCGAGAGCCACAATACAGAAGCACACGGCTAATACAGGAGAACACTGACACTGGAGCCTTCATCACCATCATCATCACCATCACACTACTGACCCACACTGCTCCACTAAACTATGCTACTGACCCACACTACTGACCTACACTCCTCTACTGACCCCCACTACTGACCTACACTCCTCTACTGACCCCCACTACTGACCTACACTCCTCTACTGACCCACACTACTGACCCGCTCCTCTAGTGACCCACACTACTGACCTACTCTCTTATACTGACCTACACTACTGACCTAAACTACTGACCTACACTCCTCTACTGACCCACACTACTGACCTACACTCCTCTACTGACCCCCACTACTGACCTACACTCCTCTACTGACACACACTACTGACCCGCTCCTCTAGTGACCCACACTACTGACCTACTCTCTTATACTGACCTACACTACTGACCTAAACTACTGACCTACACTCCTCTACTGACCCACACTCCTCTACTGACCTACACTCCTCTACTGACACACACTACTGACCCGCTCCTCTACTGACCCACACTACTGACCCGCTCCTCTACTGACACACACTACTGACCCGCTCCTCTACTGACACACACGACTGACCCGCTCCTCTAGTGACCCACACTACTGACCTACTCTCTTATACTGACCTACACTACTGACCTAAACTACTGACCTACACTCCTCTACTGACCCACACTCCTCTACTTACCCACACTACTGACCCACTCTACTGACCCACACTACTGATCTACACTCCTCTACTGACCCACACTACTGACCTACACTACTGACCTACACTCCTCTACTGACCCCCACTACTGACCTACACTCCTCTACTGACCCACACTATTGACCCGCTCCTCTACTGACACACACTACTGACCCGCTCCTCTACTGACACACACTACTGACCCGCTCCTCTAGTGACCCACACTACTGACCTACTCTCTTATACTGACCTACACTACTGACCTAAACTACTGACCTACACTCCTCTACTGACCCACACTCCTCTACTGACCTACACTCCTCTACTTACCCACACTACTGACCCACTCTACTGACCCACACTACTGATCTACTCTCCTCTACTGACCCACACTACTGACCTACACTACTGACCTACACTCCTCTACTGACCCCCACTACTGACCTACACTCCTCTACTTACCCACACTATTGACCCGCTCCTCTACTGACACACACTACTGACCCGCTCCTCTACTGACACACACTACTGACCCGCTCCTCTAGTGACCCACACTACTGACCTACTCTCTTATACTGACCTACACTACTGACCTAAACTACTGACCTACACTCCTCTACTGACCCACACTCCTCTACTGACCTACACTCCTCTACTTACCCACACTACTGATCTACACTCCTCTACTGACCTAAACTACTGACCTACACTCCTCTACTGACCCACACTCCTCTACTGACCTACACTACTGACCTACACTACTGACCTACACTCCTCTCCTCTACTGACCCACACTACTGATCTACACTCCTCTACTGACCCACACTACTGACCTACACTACTGACCTACACTCCTCTACTGACCCACACTACTGACCTACACTCCTCTACTTACCCACACTACTGACCCACACTACTGACCTACACTCCTCTACTTACCCACACTACTGACCTACTCTCCTCTACTGACCCACACTACTGACCTACTCTCCTCTACTGACCCACACTACTGACCTACTCTACTGACCTACACTATGACCTAAACTCCTGTCTACTGACCCACACTACTGACCTACTCTCCTCTACTGACCCACACTACTGACCTACTCTCCTCTACTGACCCACACTACTGACCTACACTCCTCTCCTGACCTACTCTCCTCTACTGACCCACACTACTGACCTACTCTCCTCTACTTACCCACACTACTTACCCACACTACTGACCTACACTCCTCTAATGACCTACACTCCTCTACTGACCTACACTACTGACCCACACTACTGACCTACACTCCTCTACTGACCCACACTACTGACCTACTCTCCTCTACTGACCCACACTACTGACCTACTCTCCTCTACTGACCCACACTACTGACCTACACTACTGACCCACACTACTGACCTACACTACTGACCCACACTACTGACCTACACTACTGACCCACACTACTGACCTACTCTCCTCTACTGACCCACACTACTGACCTACTCTCCTCTTCTGACCCGCACTACTGACCTACTCTCCTCTACTGACCCACACTACTGACCTACTCTCCTCTACTGACCCACACTACTGACCCACACTACTGACCCACACTACTGA